AACTGAACTAACGTATTTATGCTGATCATGATTTGGATGCTATTCACTGAACTAAAGTATTTATGCTGATCATGATTTGGTTGTTATTCACTTAACTGATCCCGTCTGGAGTTTAATCGTATTTCGAATGGATCGTTCCCCTTGCCAAGCGAGCCTTTCAAGATGTATGCATGATTGAAGAGCTTGATTAGCTCCCAGGGGCCGGCGTGTCACTCAACTATTAATGACCTCTTTATCCAGCGTTGTTTTCTTATCTAGCGTTGTCCTCTTTATCAAGCGTTGTTTTATTATCCAGCGTTGTCCTCTTGATCTAGCATTGTTCTATCAAGCGTTGTTTTGTTATCCAGCGTTGTCCTCTTTATCTAGCAATGTTTTCTTATCTAGCCTTGTCCTCTTTATCTAGCAATGTTTTCTTATCTAGCCTTGTCCTCTTTATCTAGCAATGTTTTCTTATCTAGCCTTGTCCTCTTTATCTTGCGTTGTTCTCTTTATCTATCGTTGTTTTCTTGTCAAGCGTTGTCCTCTTTATCAAGCGTTGTCCTCTTTATCAAGCGTTGTCCTCTTTATCAAGCGTTGTCCTCTCTATCAAGCGTTGTCCTCTCTGTCAAGCGTTGTCCTCTTTATCAAGCGTTGTCCTCTTTATCAAGCGTTGTCCTCTTTATCAAGCGTTGTCCTCTTATCTGACGTAGCCCATGCTAGGAACCTTGTGCCACGAAGCCAACTTAACTTCCCCACAGCACGCAGCCCACGATGCGTGACCCATGTCACGTAACTGTTGTAACTCATCTTCACTGCTTTCTCTATAACTTAATTCTAAGGCAAGTAAGTTAAACAGTTATTTTAAAAGCGTCATTTATTGAACAGAACAATTTTTAATCACGTATTAGCTCGGCTAGAGCTTCATGCCTACGTTGTACTCTTGTGAAGCTCATACTGTCATGAGCGCAGCAGCCGTCTTGAATTTTCTTCCCATGAGCTGCGACTCAGACATGGCAGAGCACTGAACCGCGTAGCAGTGACCTTCAGCTGAGCAACGCTGAGATTCAAACCTCTGCATGATTTTATCGAATTATGACGATGTATGCATGTTTAAATATAATCGTAGTTAACATGCCCTTGCGGTATATGTAAACATGTTACAAGGCTTACAACGCTCGTCAACTCCATGAAAGCCAGTAAAGGTTCTACTGATACAACTAAGTTCCCTCTATAAATTGACTCGCTTAAAATGAACTCCTGTGTTGAATAACGCGTTGAAAATCTCTGAGCAAAAATATGGTATAGAGACGTGGAGACATTAATTTTTTACTTTTCCTAATGCATCTTAACTTACTAGAGAATTAAACTGTGTACAAGTGAGTGGTGCGTTAAGGTTACCGTGTCAACGCAAAATATTGTCTTTAATCGTGGAATTCCTGGAATTACTGCATAACGTACGTTCAATGTTATGCACGTTACGAACTCTGAACTATCTAAGTTCATTCAGCCTTTTACTGAAACGTGGTATACTGACACTAAACTCATTCTAATTTACAAGAACTTTCATTTATGTGAAAAACATGCCGAGTATTCCTTAGTATTTGTTTGGGACGTAGCAGTCCCAGGCCACGATGGATCGCCGCCAAAAAATGCAACTTTTTGTATGAAATATAAATGCATAAACCATAATGTACTCCGTTAATTATGAACGCTCGATGTCGAGTACTGCGAGCCTGAGTTAATGCATTTGTATAGTCTTGGCCACAAATGTCTTGTCCATGTTTTTCTTTCCTGAGTGGAGGGGGGATCAGAATTTGCGAGTTAACTTACAATTCAATAACTTAAAGTAGCAAGATTACAACGATATCGGGCTTTATGTCATAATTTTTTAGCCTTTTTATCATATGATGGTCCTTGATGGAACTAAATTTGTGTCAGCGTGTCAGTTCCGTCATCATGAGTTGGACTTGAGCTGGTCAATCAGGTTTTTGGTGTCCGTTGGTCCGGTCTGACAGGCCTAATATAAACTGCTCGAAGGAAGCTGATGTCTTCGTTTTAATTTAGGGCACTCTGTGGCGCTAAATATGAGCGTCTCTGCAGTGGAGCCTTTGTTCTACAGCTGCTGTGGCACATCAGTTCTACAGCTGCTGTGGCACATCAGTTCTACAGCTGCTGTGGCACATAAGTTCTACAGTTGCTGTGGCACATCAGTTCTACAGCTGCTGTGGCACATCAGTTCTACAGCTGCTGTGGCACATCAGTTGTACAGCTGCTGTGGCACATCAGTTCTACAGCTGTTGTGGCACCTCAGTTCTACAGCTGCTGTGGCACCTCAGTTCTACATCTGCTCTGGCACCTCAGTTGTACATCTGCTCTGGCATATCAGTTCTACAGCTGCTCTGGCACATCGGTTCTACAGCTGCTGTGGCACCTCAGTTCTACAGCTGCTGTGGCACATCAGTTCTAGATACAGCTGCTGGCGCACCTCAGTTGTACATCTGCTCTGGCATCTCAGTTCTACAGCTGCTCTGGCACATCAGTTCTACAGCTGTTGTGGGCTGTGGCACCTCTCAAATAACTGTACTGCACACATCTCACAGCCGTTCAAATGAGCGATGCTGTCTCGGTCGAAGTTCAAAGTTGATTTATACCAGTACATGCGTGCTATCATCTTGCGGCAGCTCACGAGATTTGACATGGTTTGTTGTGCGATGAACTTGATTGAGGTCGCACCGCGTGTTGTATTAGCTTTCTTCCGCCATATCAACTCAAGCTTCAGCCGTGCAGGAAACCGCAGCTCATTTCCGCCCCTGCGTTTACTTTTTCACGGGCCCTTTTTGGGCACGTGTGTTGTACGCAAGCATACCTTACTGCCTCAGACGAGCACGTGTGTTGAACGCAAGCATACCTCACTGCCTCAGACGGGCGCGTGTGTTGAACGCAAGCATACCTTACTGCCTCAGACGGGCGCGTGTGTTGAACGCAATCATACCTTACTGCCTCAGACGGGCGCGTGTGTTGAACGCAATCATACCTTACTGCCTCAGACGGGCACGTGTGTTGAACGCAATCATGCCTCACTCTCAGACGGGCACGTGTGTTGAACGCAATCATGCCACACTGTCTCAGACGGGCACGTGTGTTGAACGCAATCATACCTTACTGTCTCAGACGGGCAAGCTTGTGGAATGCAATCTTCGAGTTTACTGAACTATGTTAGAAATTTAAAATCATCTCGCTCGTTTCTCCTCAAAAACTATCGAATGCACTTCAACTGATGGGGTGATCGGGCACGTTATATATTGATGCGAAACTAAAGATGGCTATTTCTTGATTTTCTTTTGAGCAACCCATCCAATACAGCTAATGGATACGCATACCTAAGTGAACTGTGGACTTAGCGGCGCTATTCTGATATTGTTGAGGATCTGCTGCTCCCTCACACTGCATGTCCTGTAACGAGACCCGTGGGGCGAGAGGACTCGCACAGGGGTTTGGGGATGGGGCACTTGCGCTGTCTGTCCTTGCCCCATGCTCGTGCCCCATGCTCGTGCCCCATGCTTTTGCCCCATGCTCTTGCCCCATGCTCTTGCCTCATGCTCTTGCCCCATGCTCTTGCCCCATGCTCTTGCCCCATGCTCTTGCCCCATGCTCTTGCCCCATGCTCTTGCCCCATGCTCTTGCCCCATACTACCTGTCTCTTATACACATCTAGATGTGTATAAGAGACTGCTCTTGCCCCATGCTCTTGCCCCATGCTCTTGCCCCATGCTCTTGCCCCATGCTCTTGCCCCATACTACAGGTTGCGTCCCACGCTTTCTCAATAGCGTTCAGATACAAAGTGTTTGATGACATGAAAGCGACGCTGGTACATCGCTCGCTATCTCCTACGCATTGTAGTGCTCGTGTTTTCTTTTAATTTCTGCTCACGTAAATTTTTGCTCTGAATTCAACTAACCTGAAACATTTGGAATGTTAAAAGCTTGCTAATATTTGATACCTCATCAGTTCCTCATTTCATCTTGAGGTATGAAATGAGGTTCCATACCTCATTTCAATGTTGAGTAATTTACCTCAGCAAGCTTTCATTCATTTCAATATGGCCGACTTAGCCGAGAGGTCAGGGGCGGCTGCTCACAGTACTGCACCGCGCAAGTGCTCCATCATCTCACCACCATACGCCACAGTCGTGTGCCTCTCTGTCCTCTACGCCACAATCGTGGGCCTCTCTGTCCTTTACGCCACAATCGTGGGCCTCTCTGTCCTTTACGCCACAATCGTGCGCCTCTCTGTCCTCTACGCCACAAGCGAACACCTCTCTGTCCTCTACGCGTGTGCCTCTCTGTCCTCTACGCCACAATCGTGGGCCTCTCTGTCCTCTACGCTACAATCGTGGGCCTCTCTGTCCTTTACGCCACAATCGTGTGCCTCTCTGTCCTCTACGCCACAAGCGAACACCTCTCTGTCCTCTACGCGTGTGCCTCTCTGTCCTCTACGCCACAATCGTGGGCCTCTCTGTCCTCTACGCTACAATCGTGGGCCTCTCTGTCCTCTACGCCACAAGTAAACACCTCTCTGTCCTCTACGCGTGTGCCTCTCTGTCCTCTTCGCCACAATTGTGTGCCTCTCTGTCCTCTACGCCACAGTCGTGTGCCTCTCTGTCCTTTACCGACGGCTTTACGCCACAATCGTGCGCCTCTCTATCTTCTACGCCACAAGCGAACACCTCTCTGTCCTCTACGCGTGTGCCTCTCTGTCCTCTACGCCACAATCGTGTGCCTCTTGGTTCTCAACGCCATTATCATGTGCCTCTCGATTCTTTGCGCCACAATCATGCGCCTCTCTGTCCTCAACGCCATAATCGTGTGCCTCTTGATTCTTTACGCCGCGCATAATTGTTATCTTTACAATAATATCACAAGGCAAGCTCAATAACATGAGTCCAAGCGTTGTGTCCTCTTTATCATGCTTTGTCCACTTGCCGTCTTTCGGTTAATTCACAATTTTTCCTGTGCAGGTGATGATAAATGCATATGATGTTTATGATTGTTGATGATGTGATGAACATAGCTACTTCTGTGTATTTAGTGGAAACATCTCTGCAGCATGTGCTGCTCCTGAATTAAGTGTAAAGGATTATGTTGCTTTTGCCATGAGTTCTTTTGCATACGAGACCTTTAGTGAAGTAGCTTGAAAGACAAGGTACAGCGTAGCATGGGGGGAAGCTTAGGAAAAGGTGGCTTTTTGGACAGTCTGACGTCGCTGTCGTCGCCTCTCCACATCGTTATGCTGGGGCTGGACAGCGCTGGCAAGACCACGGCGCTCTACAGGCTCAAGTTTGACCAATACCTCAACACGGTGCCCACCATCGGCTTCAACTGCGAGAAGATCAAGGGCACCGCCGGCAAATGTAAAGGTAACTCATCCGTCATAAATCAGTTAAAATGTTTCTTTGTATCGTCTGTTTTGGAGGTTATTCATGTATTACGGTATAATAGATTTTCTGCGTTTTGATCATTTGTTTCCTATCATACCGTTGTTTAGTCAAATTCAACACCAAATCACTAAAGAAATCTTTAAACAATCCGTTTTTTAATTCAAATTTCCATGATCTCCTCAGCGAATAGCCTTAACTTGAAATCTTATGTTTATTTGTTTCCCATTGACGAATTATCTATCAATTTCAATATATATGTATATGGACTTCTTCACCGACTTCACCCTCTATACAAAATCCAAAACCCAATTACTCCGCCTGCTTTCATCATAGTTTTTCCCCCGAGTGATTGGCTGTAATTTATTATTCAAGGGTTTCCCTTCTATATCGGCAGCTTTTGTTACCAGACAAAGATACAGGTAGCAATGAAAAGCGGTTAAATATTTGACGCTGCACATTTACTCCTTTCAAAAAGTGACCACTTCGTCAGGTCGAAAATTTTCTGCATTAAATATGTTGAAATAATATGAAGTAGAGAAAAAGAGACGATTTATTAGTAACTGAGTGCTTGGACAACCAGCAACGCCTCTTGCGCTCAAGGCGGGCGGTCGGTATGCATGCTTGCGATCACAATTTACAGGAGCTCTCGCCAACGGATCGGGAACGCAAGCAAAATCACGGGAACTCTGCGCGTTTTCTTTCTCACAGACGGCGGCGAAGAAGGTGGAGGAAAGTCCCAGACGTTTGTCGTGTGACGCGCACGAATTCAAGCCCTGCATGACTCGGTCCCAACAATCCCGTGTAGCTGTGCACGCAACTACGCAGCTCCGCTGTCGTTGCTTGGAAGACGTTAAATATTTTTTACACGTGCACGCAACTACGCAGCTCCGCTTTCGTTGCATGGAAGACGTTAAATATTTTTTACACGTGCACGCAACTACGCAGCTCCGCTGTCGTTGCATGGAAGACGTTAAATATTTTTTACTTATTCCTTCACGAAATTCCATTCTAGTTTGAACGTGAACTTGAGGTATAGAAGGGCAAAGCGAATATTTGCTTTATCTTCTTATCTTGGATGGACAAACTAACTCCGATTACGAGCAAATTCCTTGGCCTGTGCCTTGTTATTCCATTTGCGCCCTTTCGTTGTCCACACGCATGCTTGTTGCTCTGTCATATGCTTTGCTCGTTACATGCTCATTGCTCAGTGACAAGCTGTACTCGCCTCTTGCTTCACGTACTCGCCTCATGCTTCGCACGCGGCTCACATCGCCCACCCACAGACACTGTACAGGCAGTAAGTCTTGATGGACTTGTAAGATAATGTAGCCGTAGGGACGTTCGTTAGGCAGCTTTGCGTGTTGTCTGAGCCTCGTTCAGTCACCTTATACTTGTACAAAAGCTTAGGCCTTTGTTGGTTATGGTGAATAATAATGCCTGGATGCCTGCGTCGCTGCATAATTCTTGTATTGATGCATGCATGCGTCCTTGCCTGGATGCCTGCTATGCTACTTAAAGGACTGTCTGGTTGCCTAAATGCAATGTCTTTATAACTTGTTCGCTGCCACAATACTTTTTTTTTGTTGTCTGTACGATGCCTAAACGCCTGATGCAATGCCGCTTCTGACGAATCCTGATTCAAGATGCCGGTTTATCTTTGAATGATCATCTTGATGCCAGAATAGTTGTCGGTTACTCGGCAATTAAAAGCAAATTGGAGTTGACAATCTGACACTCGAACGCTACACGCCACGCGTCCGCTACTCTTCTATAACGCTGTCGACGCTTCCAGAAAATCGCACGTGTGATGACTGACGTTAGGTTTTCAATCGATTGAATCTCAAATGTGAAGAGTGCTGCTTGGACTTGAATTGATCTAATCTCAAGTGCGATGAATGATGCTAGAACTGAATCCTAGTTTAGTTCATTCATCTGCTACCGGTACTATCTTTGAATATCTGCGGTATTTTATCTTGCATGTTAGTGACAATTTTTGCTCTCAACGTTTTGATCGTGTGTAATTTTATTGAAAAATTAGTCGAAGTCAGAAATTGTTGCAAGTTCCTAGGCGCCACCGAGCGGTTGACGATGCTGTGCATTCTTGCGATCGAATGTATTTCGTAACGAACAGGAAAATGTTTCTGCTCTTTAATTGTTCATTTCTTCACTTATAAAACGGATCTGCCACCTCACGCTTTTTTTTATACAAGTAAAATGATATTTATGAAGAAAGTATTGACGACATCGTGGAGCGAATATGCAAGGTTTTCTGGAGCATATTTGGGGTGAGATTTCGTCTTCCTGCAAATGCTGCGGCGCGCAGTAAATCCGGCGTTAACAGCGCCGGCGCTAAGCCGACATCGCGGCAGTAGTGACCTTTGCTTGCTGTTGTCGCCTTTAAATATCGAAGACTTTATTTCACTGTCCGTTACGGAGCACGCAAGTGCTTTCCTCTTCTGGAGTGTTTCTGGAGGTCTGACTCTGTGGGAAATTTTGCTCGAATCTCGAGTGATTACTGTGTTCACAAAGTAGCCTAATTAACCCACGAGTTCAGACTGATGATTTAGACTTTCATAATGTTTTTGAATGACTTCTCACGACGGCAGCGAGGCCGGCGTTGCTTACTTATCCTTCCACCCCGCCCGGGAGGGGCATTGGCTGCAGACGTAAATTTCAGGCATTGTCTGAGCGGATAATTGGCATCTCTTGTACGTTGGGTCCTGATTTGTGCGCTGCTGACGCTGGGTCCTAATCAGCACGCTCCTTCTCGTAGATTATTCTTATTGCTTACTCATCAGGCAAGCAGGCTGATGGCTAGTTTATAATGTCACTAATTAGACGTTCAGTAGACGAGCTGTGTCGTACATCTGAGCACACGGTTGGCGCGACGATCAATGCTCGTATATACATGCAACGATAAAAACCTTCGAACCCCTGTTCCTGTGCGCACTCACGACGAGATTGTTTCAGCGTGCATGTTAGTTGATTGTTTATTGTATAACAACACACGTGCGCGTCTGTTTTTGTTCTGTTCTACTGAAGTATAGGTTGGACACTGCATTTTCGGTCCATATCGTTACACTGGCTCACTGCTTAGAGACGCGAGTGGAGGCTGAGACATAGAATGCAATTGATTTACATATTACACTCGCGCTATTCATGTTCTGGCCCTTCATGGTCTCTCGTGTTGCAGTGTAGCTCGGCACCCTAGCGGCTCAAAACTGTTAGAATTCAGGGTTGCTGTCCAAGATAGCTATGCACGTCGTGGTTGCAAGCCATTAGAGCTAGTGGCTCGTTGCAGCTGTACGTTGAGGTTTTAGCCATTTTAGCTGCACCTCAAGCGAGGCTGTACCCGATTACACCTGCATGATTACACCCCCCAGCTGCATTAGTTAGGGAGGTTTCTGATCCTTTAGAGCTGCACGAAGGGGATTGCGGTCCTTTACAGGTGCACGTAGGGGGTTGTGGTCCTTTACAGGTGCACGTAGGGGGTTGAGGTCCTTCACAGCTGCGCTTTAGGAGTCGCGGGCCGTTACACCTGCGCGTCGGGGCTGCGGTCACGGCCTGTCTCGAGTGTCCGCCGCGTTCACGCTGCACGCGCACCGGACCGGTTACACCACTAACAACTGCGCTAGGCCTACGTGAACACGTATCTGTTCGTCTGTTTTATACCTGGCAGAGAAAGTTGGTTATTAAACCTTAAGTTAAATTGTATGTATTATCATTTCACTTTGCGAGGTGATGATTGGTTCTGAAGCGCACGTGTGCAATCAAATCTAATAAAAGAGTTCGGCTCCTTAGGCTCCATTTATCGAGGAATAATGTAGAAAAGGCACAATAACAATACGCGTTGTTTTTAATATTCAGTGCTTTGAATTTTTTTATGGCTTTGCTGTATGTTAAGACTTCAGTCCCACCCAATCTCATGCGACGAGCGATGCGCATACTGAGTTCAATTTCGATCAGCTGCTCGGGGTGAATCACATTCGTCTATTAGAATAGAATAGAAGTGTCGGCACTGAAGAAATAGGCCCATGGCCTAATGCCGATTCGTATACTTTTCGTGACTTGATTCACAAGGAATCTGGCCTTTGGAACCCGATCTTTCCATATCTGACGATTGATTGATCCTCCTTTGCGGTTTCATAAAAAGCCAACAGTAGATACAGAAATACATTATATAAAATGCTCATAGATGTGTGGAAATTCGTAGTGATTATTTCCTGTAGCCATAAAATAAAAAGTTCTGGCTGGGGCATGAGAGAAAAGCCTTGCAGGCGCTGGTGTCGAGCGGCGCTGCATCAGTGAAAGTCGCTGTCAGAGGCCCAGGCAGCTGCGACACAGGAGGCTGAACTAAGCATCTGCGTCGAACTATATATTTTGCTTTAGACGAGACGATACTAAAAAGTTTAACAATTAGCGATAAAAATCGAGGCAATTTGTAAATTTATGTGAAAATCCGGGTCGGCACCGATGCGAAACAAGACGTCCCAGACAAAACAGAAGATTGGCAATTTTGAGCAATTTAAGTCATTTAACGGGACATGAGCATTCATAAAAAGAAACTCCAGTTAATTATTGATGTGTAATTCCATCAACTAATTTGTCGATGTACTTTTTTAACTGTTCTCCTGTTTTATGTTCCCCTATTCATTTTCTGTGATCACCTATGCTTCGTGGTATCTTCCATTCTGATTGTCGATTTGACTTCGTCAAAACTCAAACAATTTCGTATATGAAAGGCTCGCTTAAAATATCAAATGAACTCCAATAATAGATGTAGGCGTGCCAACTCTCCAGAGACTGCTAGCTGGTACCTATATTTACTCTTGCCACTACTCGAATAAATGGAACTTCGTTCAGAGGGACTTAAATATTTTTGACAAATCTACTGGCGACTATACTGTCAATTTGTGTTGGCTTGATGTCAAATCTGCCCAACTACCTCTTAAAATAAACACCAAGGTTTTAACTCGTTAAAACCTAATCCGCTCGTTCAAAATGTCTTTTGTCTCATATCGTTAGTTGGCGTCTCGTTTAACTTGGCTCGTAACGTTCTATAATATCCGAGACAAGATTGCGTCCCGATTCATAAGTTTATTCCAGAACATGTCTCGTCTCATTGTCCCAGTTCATTTTAAATTAAGGATTCCAAGACGCGGACGTATAGGCTGTACATCTTCCAGGATCGCCGAGTGTGCGAAGAGCTTTGCAATTCACACAGCTCTTACTTGGCAATGCAGCCTGAGTTACGGTTGCGTAATTGTACTAGTGGTGCTGAGCGACTCCCATGTTACCGACTTTCAAAACGTGACTTCATTGTACGTTTTTTTGCGTTTAGGTAACGATTAATTCATGAGTTAGTTTCTGCGAGCCAATTGCCTGTTTACTCAATCTGCACTAGATTTAGACGTTTGTTAGTCTCATGATCTTGAAATATTTTAACGATATCAAGCTAATCTGACGACCTCAAATTACTCTGACAATCCTGAGTGAGCCTGTCGAGCTCGCGCTAATCTGGCAACCTAATCTGAAAGCTTCTTGGCGTCTGCCTATTCAATTAATTTCTCATTGTTATCTTCCAATTCTATGAACTCTTCTTTGTTGTCCGTACATTCTTTTCAGTCCTATTATCCTATATATGTTGTTTTCCTGTCACATGAACTCTTCATTATCATTGCTTCGTCTATTAATTTGTCACTGTCACTTTCCTCGTCATAATCTCAATCTACCTCATCAAAGACACGCCTTACTCACTTCATCAGGCACGAGCTTCTTGGTGTGGGACGTGGGTGGACAGGAGAAGCTTCGTCCTCTGTGGCGCTCCTACACTCGTGCCACCGACGGCATCGTCTTCGTCGTCGACTCTGCTGACGTAGAGCGCTTTGACGAGGCCAAGATGGAGCTGGCTAGGACTATGAGGACGCCCGAACACACGTCGGTTCCCGTGCTCGTGCTCGCCAACAAACAGGACCTGCCCGGCGCCAAAGACGTCGCATACGTGAGTCGTGCTCTAGTTCTGTTCTATTATTCATACGAGTGTTTTTCTCGTTGATGTACAGGGGGTGCACAAAAAAGTGAAACACATTAAAAATCCCAAAAAATTTAATTTAATTATAGTGTAGGTCCACCTTTATCGGCAATTGCAGCCTCAATTCCGAGCGGTATTGATTCATACAAATTATGAATTATTTCCAAAAGAGTTTCTTCAATTGAACTCACTTTAACCCTCTTTCAGTTTAACCCAAGTTTAAACTTCGTTCGGCCTGTCTTAACTCTCTCTAAAAGTACACTCAATCAGAAGCCGGAAATAAGGTAAACGATATGTCAGAGAAAATCAAAAATTTTCACTGAAAGAGCGAAAATTCTGGAGTTTTTTTACGCCACTCTAAACGCTTTTAAGCATTTATATTTGTGACCAGAGTTGTTCTGATTGCAGCTCTTCCTTAAAATCTAGATTTGTGCAGCTCCCGACGAACAGTTTCCACGAAAACTGGGTTCTGTACAATCGGTAAGTGTCGACTGAGGTTTGTTGTCATTTTTAGAGCCGTGATTTTAAATTTTCTCTCATAATTTTATTTAGTGATCGACGGATTCCCTCTGACAACTTTGACTTTCGGCCTGACCTCTGCGTTGCTGAGGACGTTTTTTTTCCTTCTCTTTCTAAAACAGTTATCACTTTTGAGACAGTTCCTCCTGAAACCTAAAGCATTAAGGTAATTTTTATTACACTAGCACCAGCTATACGAGCACCAAGAATTTACCCTCTGTGAAAGTCAGAGGTGCATAAAATATTTCGTAAAATATCTGTAAAAGCATAAAATATTAATTAACTGCAATAATATATTAGCAATAAAACGATAAAGATTAAAATGTGTCAAGTTGAAATTTAATAAAACGTGTCCAAAAATTATGATTTTAAAATGTTGGGTGTTCCTCTTATTTTGTCAAATCCCTGTATAACTCGTTAGCTCCAGGTTATGTTCATAAGTTAAAACCCTCCATTAGGTGCAGTTATTTGCTTTCTATTCATATCAACGTTACATTAAAATGTTAAATGTTTTCTTCTGTACCGATCGTATTTCACTGCCGATCATCTCTATGCTATTCCTACGTGCCCTGACGATGCAAAGCACGGTCTCTGTGATGCAGGTCGAGAAGGCCTTGGGACTGACGGACCGAGGCGCCGTGGCTCAGTGTCACGTACAGCCAGCCTGCGCCATCATCGGCGAAGGTTTGGAGGAAGGACTTGACATTCTCTATGAAATGATCTGCAAAAAGAAGAAAATATCGAAGTTAGGAGGAAGAATAAAGAAAAAGTAATAGGTAAAAGAAATATATTGAATTAGTGAATCCTAGATTCTCGTGATGATGAAATCAGCTGTCAAGATGGCACTCGTGAGGAGTACAGCTGCCGGACGAATAGGACTCGCAAGATTGTGTCAGTGATGTTGCAATCAACAATCGAGATTTTTTCGAGCCAGAAGAACAATAACGCAATACCAGCTCATCGCAGTTTGATTCGTTGGTTGTGACGTGTATCTATCGAATCTGACGATCAGACTAAATAATTGGACCTTAGCTTCTTGTAAACGCATTTGTTATTTATCTATTTCCAATGGAAGTCGTTCGCGAAGTGTCTGGACCTCACTATTTATCTTAAGAATGTATGTAACTAGTTGACTTGGTGTGTCGCGCTGCTACTCTCTTCTTTACCTTCGACGGAAGATTAGGGTAAAATTTTTGCATGAACCTACGTCGTGACGCTGCATATCAGTTGTAATCGGTTACTTAATTAGGAGCAGCGAGGAAGATCGCACCTTTAATTAAGATCAAATTATTTCTTGTTCGCGTTCTTTAATTGGATTTAGTTTTATTAATTCTTTCCCTTTCTATTCGCAGTCGATTGTATGAAAAGGCAGTTCAAGTGCGTTTCACACATTGTGAGCTAAATAACGTTATATATTATAACGACCGTAGCTGTTGTATTGCATCATGAACAAGCGCAATCAGTGTCGACTCTGTAACCTTTCCTGCATCTGCGTGACGGCCATCCCGCCCCAAATAGGCCGTATAGGGAGGGTTTATATGAACCCTGATCACAATGTGCATGTAGTTTGTGTTGCGTGTAACGAGGACAACGCCTTTATTAGCTTCCAGTGTTGCCACAGTACAGCGGCATCGCTGCTAATTGTGAGCTCAGTTCATTTGGGCGACCGCGCTCGAGTCATGAATTCCCGTCGACTTCGGCCCCAGGCCAGCATTTGGCCTGAGCTGCTCATGCAAATTTGGCACCGTCGGGTGTCAGTCACGAGGCTGCTCATTCATAGCCTAATATTCCCCGGAGAATTTTTGACTTCGTAATTTTGGCAGATTTAACTTGATTCTCGCTGGGAGCGGTATTGCTCGTCGCCCTTGGAGAGGCGTCGCTTGTTAGCAAACGAGGCAAACACGCGTGCGATGCGTGTTCGTTGAGATTTTATCTTCATGTACTATAATTTTTTGTACATTTTACGTACAAACTTTTACGCTTAGGTCCTCTATTTGATTTCCGTTGGAAGAAGAGTGATAAAATTGCCTTTTATATATCACCTTCGGTCCTTGATGCAAATGTGCTGAAGTTATCTGGTGTTCAATAAAATTTGGATGCCCTAAGAACGCCATCCTGAGGGATATATTTTAAAACTAAAAAATAATGCATCAGCATTAAACTAATTTATTAATTGTTCATATTCTGTAGAATGACTTCAGTAAATTTGTAGGTCAGTACAGTGATCGATTGCATTCGTTCCCTGCAAGCATTTTAAATCGTAGCGCCGGCCAGAAAAATCCCGGCAAGCTCGAATTATCTCGCAAACGCTAATGCATGACATTCGTTTGCGCGGCTTAGAATATCATATTACGTATCTAACGGAGAATTTAATTGTATTCCTGCATTTAACACCTGCACTGCCTGCTGTCTCGCTCTGCAGGCTAGTTAAAGAAGAACACTCAACAGGAGCGAGTCTTTGATATTTTCTGGGGCAACATTTCCTTTGTTTCATGGAGCTGCCGTGACTCGGCCAATTGTTTCGGCGAGGCTGTAATCTCGGCCAGCGCTTCCTACGGCAAACTCCACTGCGTCATCGTTACTATTCTTCAATTTATTCGCAAATGGCAAAAGACTGTGGAAAGTTGAGAATTCATCGCCCAACTTTCCGTTTGCTCTCTTGTGGAGCTTGAAGGCGTTTTATCTCAGTGATGTTTTTCAGTGCCCGAAAGCAGCATTGAGGCCGTCAAAATCAACTAAGGATTAAGCTGCCCGAGGGCAAATGTTTTCTTCGATGGCACCCGTTCCAAAAGGGGAGGTAACCGCTCCGTCATTGTGTAGAGCATTTCTGAAATAATTTTAATAATTTCTCCGTATAAGAATTATTCTTTATTTTCTTGAAGTATTGTAGTTCTGCTGATAATATTGGACCATATTTTTCACACTTGTCTGTACAATTATTCTCATTTTTGGACTCATTTCAAGTACAAAACAGTTGAAAAATCCGATTCATTGATAGTAAGATGTTAATTTTATTTTAGCGTAGAATGTATACATTAGTAAAAGCCTCGTGTTGTGTTTGTGTACTTTTAGGTTTTGTTACGGCAGTTGTGACGCCAGCGACCTGGACAATACTCAGTGTGTAGGCATTAGGGCTCAAATGTCTGCATGTAGATATTCAATCGTCATATCATTGTAAGTTTAGTGCTGTAGTTTCGGTTATTGCTTTATATTTATATGTAAATAGTTTATTGTTGATATACTCAATAAACCCGTTAGACCTTTGTTGAAAGTGTTTTCTTTGTGGTTTTGAATTGCATTAGCGTCAGCTCGGCAGCGTGATATGTACGATCGCTTATTTCATGCCTACGCAGCTAGATGCAGGATGTCAATCTGCTTGTCAATCAATTAGGTCCTATGTTAATTAAGAACTGTCTGCCCAAAAATATTGACTCGTCGAGTATTCAATTCCCTGGAATGATTAATATTCTAGTCATCTATAACTATTTGTGAATGCTTGTGTGTTTGAAGCATGGCGTCATAAAAACTCGTACAAATGGGGGGTTTGGGCACGTATCCTTGATACTTATCGTACTGAGACATTAAGGTGACCTTAATAAATCATTCGTAGTTTAAGAATAGGAATTAGGGCATTAAAAAATATGAAAAAAGCATTGAATCAAAAATTGAAATTAGATTTTTAAATTGGTTGAGATTACGGAGATGACCGGATTCGGTATTGTTATACTATCTCTTATAATATAAAAAGCTGTGCGGATTCACCTCCTTGTAAGCCACTGGAGTCAAGACGCGACTCCAACTCCAAGTTTCCAGTGCGCCGAACCGTTAGTCCGGCGTCACGGGTGTCAGAACCGGTTTTTATCTCGTGTCAGGCACGCAGTCGTCCGACTCCTAACTTGGACTTATGCTTACACCTGCACGTAAGAGATTTCTAACAGTTGTCCGACACACTAAGTTTCTGCGTATGTAATTTTTATCACGTTTTTCAAATTGTGAAATTGTGCGCTCGATTTCGTTTAACTTAAATTTTAGTGATTTAATTGACTTGGAAACAATGTCATCTGCTACGATCAGGAAGTAAGGCAGAGAGTGTGCGCCGTGTGCCGCTGTTGACGACATCATGTGCTCCAAATTGATTTCAATAAAGACTCGCTAGAACTTCTCTTGCAACATCATATATAATCTGATAGATCACGTGTTTCTCGGAGCCCTTCACTTCTACGAGCAGACCCGGAGCGGGGTTTAGTTCTTCTGAAGCAGCGCCTTTATCCGTCTAGCCGAGATGGGCTCATCTAACGGCGGGGTCGTGAATCGTGATACTCTTAATTTATTTACCGAATCGCAAAGGCAACAGCCAATTTATCCGTTTAGGCTCTTAATTAGGTTGAACAATCACAGAAAGGAAACGTAAAATTTAATTCTCTATAGCTTTTCCATAATAAATGAATTATTCAATTAAATTGTCCGTGTTAATTCAATTTATCTCATACTACAATTGCAGAGTGTCCTAGGGCTGCAACAGGGTCGAGACTAATGTTTGTTCATGTGAGTAAAATCTTAATAAGAACATCAAAATTTAACATGTTGAACATTTGTGTTCGTAATCACAACAAAATTATAATGAATGAAAATCAGCGTCAGGAACTAATCAGCCATGGCGACTGTAACTTGATTGATCTTGACGGTATTGTTGGGAGAAGAAAAGTTTTCGTCTCCCTTGTCTGGGTCACGTTGCCATCACAAACTTTTCAAGCCTAGCAGTGTAATTACAACGCTGCTTGAATTTTTTCTGCCTGGACGGGTCACGCAGTCGCCTTTTTTTCTCTCGGCGAGTTGAAAAAGATCTTTGTTCCGTGACGGCGCCCAACTGAGCCAAGAGCAAACCTTATTGCGTTGTACTTGCAGCTTGAAGCCTCAGGTATAACTATGTTGCACCCAATATTTTCTCCATTAATGCAGTGATAAAGTAGTTTATAATATGTGAACTCTTAAAAGCGAGCTGTACACTAGAAAGTTTTATCGTGAATGACTTGTCGAGGAGAGTACGCTATGAGGTCGATCCAATAAGAATGCCGGAGACACTTGCGTTTTGCCTTCCTACAAGACAAACGCTTTTTGGATGCCGTCGCTGGGTAGTCGTCCTCAGGTTACCTAGTCAGTGATGGCTCAAGGCTGCAGCATGGAAACTCATCGAAAGAATCCTGCAGCCTTGAACACCGCGCTCAACTCTCCGTAAGATATCCTTCAGGTACCATTCATCTTTCTCATTGCCAGAGGTTTGATCAGAGTTTCAAGCGAGTCTTGGAGATAAGTTTTGACCTACGGTGCTACTCGGTGTCTAAACTATTATGAGTGAGTAAAACTGATTCTTAATTCATGACTAATTATTTTATTCAATCACATTGTTAATAATGATGACTCATGCTTAGTAACACTTAGCACAGAGCTGGCAATGTTGCATTCGCTAGTAAGTAAATCAGCACTGCATTGCACAAAGATATTATCATTGTGGAATTATTATTTAGATTAGGTGGTATCAGTGGTGGGCACAGTTCCGCTAATCCGCTAACCGCTAATTAGCGAAGCTAAATTTTTCCTTATCGGATTAGCTGTTCAGCTAACTTTGAAAACCTTCAGCGGACCAATTAGCTTCCGCTAAATTTAGTTCCGCTAACTGGAAGTCCGCTAAAAATGTTTAAAAATCTCTGATTTAATGCTAAGTATAGTAAGCCATGTGCCACGCCCACACCTATACTGCAGTCCTCTGATGGACGCAATGCTGGCAGGCATCACGAAAAGGTTTGGGCCCCTCCTAGAAGACAAGGAGTGCCAGCTGGCAGCGGCCTTCCACCCTAAGTTTCGCTTACGAGCACCGTGTACTATCATTGGTATTATACGAGCACCGTGTACCATCATTAGGGATGATAGGAGCACCGTGTACCATCATTAGGTATTATACGAGCACCGTGTACCATCATTAGAATTATACGAGCACCGTGCACTATCATTAGGGATTATACGAGCACCGTGTGCTATCATTAGGGATTATACGAGCACCGTGTACTATCATTAGGGATTATACGAGCACCGTGTCCCTTCATTAAGTATTATACGAGCACCGTGTACTATCATTAGGATTTATACGAGCACCGCAAGAAGTTTTCCAGGCGAGTCATATATATATAATATACTGCAGGACTCGACTCAAGGCTCGTTCATCTCGTGCCGCATTTTAATTAGTTTTTTTTTTGTCTCGGGAGCTTCTTGAATGAAATTTCTAGTCCTAAACTTACATTTTTCTTTGTCTGTAGCAGCTTGACGTGAGCATAGCCTCCGATGACATCGAACATAACATTTCTTTTCTTGCAACATGATTTGATTTTACTACGATGTCCAGCTGTTTTTTTATGTCCAGCTGTTGTCCTGCATCGCAACAAGTCCAGCTGCTGTCCTGCATCAGGTCATCCATGATCACGTAGGAGAGAAATTACGAAAATTCTGCTAACTATTTATGTCACAAAATTCCATTCGGTCAGAATGCTCGAATCGTCGAACAATACAATTAACTGCACAACATTATTTCCACAGGTTCCTGTTCCTATACAAGTGTCTTGCAGCAACAATATTTACAAAAAAATGGTCAACAATAGCAGGAAATCAACAATAACAAAATTTAAGAGCACCAGTATTGCAGTATATCGACCGTGAGGAACGACATAAACGGGGAGAAATATCATCTTCATCTTGTCAAAAAGAACAACCACTTCCGATCCTAACTATTAAAATCTTCATGTACCAACATCTGTTCAATAAAATCTACGAGACTTGTTGAACTGGCCCAGGGTAAAACATATCTGCTAGAAACAGCAGACTTAGAACTGAACTCCCTGGAGAGGATGTCGCAACTTTAATTGTTTTACGCCTGCTTGCGTGGAACTCACGAGCCCTAATGATCTTCATTTGCTTCAGACTGCTGATCTAATCAGTTTAAGCGTCGTCAGTCAAGTGCAGAAGGCCCGACATACCAACTCCAAATTCTGAGCTATGATAATGAAGTGAATAATGCCTGCCAAATTTTTGGATCCTTTCTTCGCTGTACGAATAGAATTTCCTTATCTTATCGAATAGGGCCTTATCGTTGACGAAAATAGATAGCTAGCGTGGAATTTACATCAAATTGGATACGGCAAAGTCTGAAAAAATCAATTGTTTCACACTTACTACCGTATCCCGAACTCATGGAACGCACAAAAGTTGGTTGTATTTTCAATAATTGGGATAACAATGTTTCTTGCTAATTACATGAATGACTTTGTTCCGTGTAGAAGATTAACTAGGTATGCAGCACGAAATGTGCATTCATGCTACTAAAAATCAAGCATGATAAATTCTAGTTGCAAAAAAAAAACGAAACACAACAGCTACATAAATCAATATAAGAACTATCATTTTCCACTGAACATTGTGCCCACGTGTTTTTCCACTTTCATATAATAATTAGGAAACTTCATCACTAATTACAACCACAAGAGGATAATGGCTAAGCATTTTCTATACAAAGCTGGAAGAACTACTCAACCCAAAAAGGCTTCACGTTTTTTTCTGAACAATTAATTGCGAGATGTTCATGAATTTTATGCAGAGAAAACGCCAACGAATGAAAATTGATATTCATAGACAATAATCTTTCTTAATATATCTGCCTCGCAGACTGTTCCAACAATTAAAGGCTTTGGCAATAAAAATCATCATCAGATCTTGTTAATCAAGATCCAGTTTGAGGAGCTCGGCAGCGCTGACGTCGAGCACCCGGGACTTCCGCATGGACTTCAAAGCCTGGCGGAGAAGAGAACTGTAAGGGTACGGCCAACAGAGGGACATCACACTGGTCGGTCAACACCCGTCATCCAAGCAGCACAAACAACACCACCCGTTATCCAAACAGCACAAACAACACCACCCGTCATCCAAGCAGCACAAACGACACCACCCATCTAGACGCCAGAACTCACCATCTGAGCATCACAGACGCCACAACTCACCATCTGAGCATCACAGACGCCACAACTCACCATCTGAGCATCACAGACGTCACAACTCACCATCTCAAAGTCATGCATGGTGACGGGCCGTAATTCGGTAACATGAGCATTATCTGAGGTTGCATTTACATCCAGGCTCTCATTGGCAGCGTAGAACTCAGAGTCGCTCTCTGGGTCAGACCTGAGTGATAAAGGACATCATACAAGGCCTTCTTGTGTAGCTTCTATAATAAAATGTCATATGGTTGCTTGAGAGCTAGTACACTTGTTCGTAGCCTCCAACTTGGTTAACCAAGTAATCCAACTTGGTTATGACGTCTCAAATAAACATGTACCATTGCTATATACCAAGTTCTTTCACTTAAAAATAGAGCGAACATCTTACATGAATTCCCTAAGACGATAAACAGAAGCGTTCCTGCAGAGCTCCCGTAGGTCAGAGCCAGAGAAGCTCTCCGTCTTGGTGGCAACAACGTGGAGGTCAACGCAGGGCGCCATGGCTTCAGAGCGCATCACGAGCTTCAAGATGTCTTCGCGCTGCTCCAGCCCCTGCACCAGTCAATGTATATTGGTGAGACGCACGCTCGTTGGATACATACTTTCCTTGCTGCTTCAAAAACAGTATTACAAATATACGTGTAAATAAAGATGGATACAGTCCCAAGCTTTAGAAATGCAACATTGACACTCGCATTATCACTATTGTTCAACATCATAACACAGATTTTGCATATTAAGCATTAATCATATTAATAGTATGTATGCATCGCATAGAAAATTTGCCCTTCGAATTCATAAATGAAATTAAGCATAATAGACACTTTTCCAGGGCAAGACGACCTAGGTCCGCGCTGGGACCTAGGTTTTGTACTTGCTGCATGTTGGAACTAACAGGCAGAGTGACATAGAAGGCGGCAGGCAGCCTCCTCAGTATGGCTCTGTCCACATCACGAGGTCTGTTGGTGGCAGCCATGACGATAACGATGGCGTCATGGTCGGTGTTGAGGCCGTCCCATTGTTGAAGGAACTGAGCCTTCATCATTGCGGTGGCCTCATGGTCACCCGTAGCGCGGACACGCAGAAACGAGTCTGTCATATTCAAAGTGCAAAACTCGACAACTTGCAACATCCAAAAGACAAGATGAAAAACCAGTTGATGACGCTCAAGGCATGGGTGAAAAGCTCTTTAGAAAAATCAAACCATACAGGTATACAAATATAACTTGACATAGAATTTACCTTTCCACACATTGATAAATAAACGAAATATATACAAATTAAAAGTGGAAAATAATTATATTCAACATATTAGGCTGAAATAAGCTACATAACATCACATCATTGAGTTGCAAGCAAAGTCGGAGATGCTTTCCTGCAAGATTAAATAGCTTTTTATGATTCTAGAGGAGACCAGCAGTAATTCAGAAAGTTTATGAAACTAACATTCTTCCAGATGACAGAAGAGAACAAATAGTAGGAAGAATAAATATTTATACAGCAATGACATTTCACCCTTGATTTACTAACCTACTTCATCAATGAAGATGATACAAGGTTGAATTTTAGTTGCAAGTGTGAAGACTGCAGAGGCAAGTTTAGGAGACTCCCCATACCACTTGTCAGTGAGGGATGACACATCCAAGTTGATGAAGCGACAACCCGCTTCTCGAGCCACGGCCTTAGCCAGCAATGTCTTACCACAGCCAGGAGGTCCATGAAGCAACACTCCTGAAACAATAATTTTATTAGCATAAGACTTAAGTAGGTGTGCAAGTGCTGGAACATTGTTTTGCTGATAACATTGGTACATCTTGTACATTGCACGATATCTCTCTCATAATCAACTCACATAAAATTCATGACAAATAAATGGCTTTAGGGCAAAGAATAAAACTTGATTGGACTAACCCTTAGGAGGCTTGATAAGGCGACTGGAATGCCTGCTACTCATCTGAACAGGCAAGATGACAGTTTGGCGCAGCTCTCTGATGAGGCTCTGCAGTCCCGCCACATCCTGCCATCCAACATCTAAGCTCTGCCCCAGTACCAGCTGGCTGGCTATGATGTGCTCATACTCATTTAACTGCAATCAAATGTCAAAACATTACTAATTACTCATAAATTTGATGAGTAAACCAGAGTACTCAGATTTTTGACATAGTAACTAATGCTAGTAAAGAAAATACATTACCAAAATATAAATTTATAATCTTGACTGATTTTTCATTTCCAAATAAAAATTCAAGCTTTATTTACCATAGTAAAAAACAAAATAAATACTCAAATATACCTATGTATCTAAAAACTGTTTTGAGTTAGTGGTGGAAGTAGTACCTATATTTGGTTGAGGAAATGACAAACTTACAACAATTTCTTAGATTTCAATGATTATTTTATGAAAATAAATTCTCCAGACCAGTCACTTAATTACAAACTGATCTACTCAAGTTTACCTTCTTTGACTTGGGAGAGGAGAAAATACAAACAGAATGAACATCAGTTACTACCAAATGCCTTCCTCAATGGCAGCATTATTTCATTACTAATTACCTTGGTGTCCTTACTAACTCCCAGTTTCTTGAGAAGTTCTTGAGCCTGCAAATATATTACAATTTAAACATGACTATAATGAACTTATGAATAAACTTATGAATAAACATCAAGAAACATTTTGGTACATTAAATGTTAATAAATTAAATTTATCAAACATTATAGTAAAAATAATGTCAATGTATGATATTCAACATCATGAATGCACTCTGAAGAAGAACACATATTTATTCAGTCTCATACATAGGTACTACTCACTTTTTTGGAGCTCTGCTGCTTTTGTTTAGATGTGGGGTCTAATAAAGAACTCATCAACTTGATTGTGTAGTAGGAGAAAGCAGCAGCCACTGACAAGCGAGCAAGAAAAAGAAAAGCTTCTTTGCGGGATATTTCCATTTTAAAGCTTGTGATGAGTACGTATTACAGTAAAATTTAAATTAACCTGTAAACTCCAATAAATGATTAGTTCTAGAAAATGTTTGAGCTTAAACCAGCTGACAATCAGGGGTCAAAACAAGGAAGATTCTACTCAATATTTAACCACAGCATCATTTGGAGAAAAACTGGTTCATAGCAAATTTCCACCTGCACTGGGTTAGATTTACTCTCACAGGAAGATGCAGGTTTTTGGGGAATTTTCCTTTGCAAAATGATCTTTTTGCATCCAATGGATGGCTTAATCAACACAGGGTGATCTCAATTTGATCAATTGACACAGACATTTGCACAGAGCAAAAGGGCACAATAACAACCATTTAGCATATACATTTCAACTGCAATGCTGGCAATCATTATAATGTGTGCATGTATAGCTGCTTGTTAAAAATACAATCACCCTGCCAGCATCAGCCAGCATTTAAAAATATATCTCTATCTCAGTGTCCATTTTATCTCAGCAACAGATCAGAAGCATTACAGTGGCTTGGTTGAGTGAGATCCACAAGCAGTGAAAATTCTACAGCGCTAAAAATCTTTGACAGGCCCATTGGCCTAATCTTTGAAGCTATCACTACTAACGTCAAATGGGGTAAAAAGGAACGGTTTTGAGCATTTTTTGTTAATAACTTCTTACCATGAAACATTTCAGAAACAAGTTTAGGCTCATTTTATAGGTAGCTCTTTGTGAGGTCTATCAAATGGCATCTTCAAAAAATTCCATATGCTATTCGTAAGGTGCCAGACGCAAAATAAAACCATCCCGATTTACTCCTGGGAACTGGGTAATCTGGGACACTTGCAATAAAAGTTAATTTTAAAACGTTTGAAGCATGCAGAGTGTACTCATTCATTACTAACAGTATTCTGAAGTCCTCCTCTTTCATTGTAGATGATGTAGATGTAAAATAAATGACATTTTTTGTGATTTTTACTTGTTTTTCCTTAGTTGATATGATATTACCATATTCATTAATTACCGTATTATTAATCAGATCCATGGACATGCCATTGTATCCATGGACATGCCATTGAGCATTGACAATGACCTTGTCTACTGCAAGCTTCATATCAGCAGCAATGTAGCATTTCTTCTGTATCTGTAAGCTTACAGGATGGTTTGTAATTCCGCACAATTTTAATTGAGTCAAGTGATTTCACTATAACAAAAAAGATTGTGAAAACATACCTGAAACAGAAAATAATGTTTTAGTGACAACCATCATATGTTTTGGAGAAATAAATCACAGTTTAGGTCAATTAATTTTCATTCTATGATGCCAGGTGCACAATTCTATACATTGCATTCTATGTACAATTTTGTGACAACCGATGATGCACTAATTTTTCAATAAGTGAATTTTTTTCACTGAGCGAGGAAAATGTAGAAAAATTCTTTGTTGTTAATCAATTTCTTTGTTAGCTGTATCCTTTGCTAACTGAGGTTCTGCTGTAAATGCATTTTTAAGGGTGTCCCTAATTACCCCAGGGGGTTTCCCTTTTTACCCTGTTGCGTGAAAATAGCTGCCATTTTTTGGAATGAGATAGGCAAATTCCGTCAACTATGTTTTTTCAAGCCGACACTTGGGTGCAACTTTTATGTAAGTAAATTTTTTTAATACGGCAAATATTTTTTTGCTCCAGACCTTAGCAGAGGTACTTTTCCAAAATTGCACTTTTCACACTTTCTTTCAGCAAATTTTTAGAGATAGTAAATGTTTAATTTCTTGACTACCTTTATACATAATAGATGGTAAAAATGTTGAAGTTTATGCCACTATTTTTAGTTTTGCAATATTTTGATTAGTTTAGCTGCTACAACATTTCTACAAAATGTGGGTCGCGCATCCTGATTTACCCCTCCCACCCGTCCCTTTTTACCCCATTTGACGCCTGACGGTATTGTTATTATTATTATTAATAAAATATTTGTATGGTCACTCAGGCATGGAATATATCTATACTTTCTGACCTGCATCTAAAGCTTTTCCTTCTCCTGCCACATTGGAGCAATTAGATTCCTGGTAGATGAATCATTTCACAGCTAATTGATAACTAAATTGCACAATTGAGCTATATGATTCTAAAAAAATTTCTATACCTTGACATTTATAAATGTACTGTCAAGTGAAGTAACAAGGGACAGGCAGGGTAAATTGAGACAGTCCTCCGCCACAGCATTAAAATGTTATAGCAGCAAAACAAACTGAAATATTGCAAAACTAAAAATAGTGGTGCAAACTTCAGCATTTTTCCTCTCTATGTAGCATAAAGGAAGTTTATAAATCATACATTTACTAAAAATTACCTGAAAAAAAATGTTAAAAAGTGATATTTTTTAAATGTCCTTGAATGTAGTAAAAATATAAGTTGTATTAAAAAATTTTGCATATAAAAAAAAGTTGCAGACAGATGTCAGCTTGAAAACTTCATTGATGGAATTTTTGCACCTTAATCCAAAACTAAATGGCAGACATTCCTGCATGGGGGTGTAATAAGGGACATCTCCCCAGGACCCAGGTTAATATAGGACACCCCTAAAAACACATTTAAACATACCCCTAAAAACACAAAAAAAGTTGAACTTTATGCCACTATTTTTAGTTTTGTAACATTTTGATGAATTTTGCTGCTACAACATTTCTACAAAATGTGGGTCAACTGTCCCTATCTACCCAGTGGTCCACCTGTTCCTTATTATGCCATTTGACAGTACCCCATGGCCCATTCCCAACTTCCAATCCCAGTGGTACTTTATGATGCTTTTATTTTGCATCTGGCACTTTACAAATAGCAAATAAAATTTTTTCAGAGATGCCATACAATAGCCCTCACAAAGACCTTTAAAATGAGCCCAAACTTGTTTGTGAAATGTTTCTTGGAAGTAACTAAGAACAAAGAAGTTATTAAGGGGAGCATCTAGGGTAAAATTAATCTCGGCTATTTACAGACGGATCACTCTGAAACTTGGTACACATATGTAAAACAGAAATTTAAGACTTTTTTCTTCTTGTGAATTTTTCGAGAAAATGAAAGAAAACGTGAAAATCTTAGAAAGTGGCCAAAAAAGGAGATACCTACCATAGAAATCTATCAGTCCTCCTAGGAATTTCAAAATTCAAGGTAGAACATCAAGACACATATCATTTGATGCGCAAAGACCATATCTATAAACGCTGTATGTGTTTTTGGTAATGATCATTTTTGTGGGTGTGGGGGCATTTTTTATAAATTTTCTGAAAATTTTTCAATTTTACCTGTCCACACCCACCTTTTTGCGGAATAAAATCCAAAGTATAATGAAATTAGAAAAATGCCCACAGCCACTTGTAGGTAGATCTTTTTTTTTTGCACATTGAATGGTATATGTCTCATTGTTGTAGCTTAAAAACTCTATGAGGAGATAGGATAGGTTTGCTGTGAGAGGTTTTCATGTTTTCAAACTTTTCAGTAGAGGCAAAAAACCGCAGCGCGTTATATAAAGGTATGTAATGTAGGTTAGATACCATCATACCAGAAGTAAGCATTATCTCACTTCAATTTTCCAAGTCAGTCAGCACTCAGCACTCAGCAGTGCATAGGACAACAGACAACTACATCTTGTCTTAATCACTCTGGAAATCACTCAAATCAGTTGCAATGAGTGTAACTGTGTAAGTGTTGCAGTGCAGGGAGAGTAAGGGATATCCTATCAAAGTTGTTCTTGTTAGGGCCATAGTAGTGGCAAAGGCAAAGCAGAGAGTTTTTTAGACTCTGTCTCAAGTTCCTTTTTGAGTCCTATAAGTTGACCAGTAAAGTATCATGGATACCAGCAATCATGCATAGTGGCAAAGCAGAGAGTTTTTTAGACTCTCCCTCAAGTTCATTTTAAGTCCTATAAGTAGGTAGACCAGTAAACTGTAAAGTATCCTGGATACCAGCATTATCATACCTAAGAAATTAGTTTAAATCTTGAGTAAATGAGGAAATTAATAATGAACTGATTATAAAAAAGCTCTGGTTTGGCAGGTTTGCCACTATGACCAGCATTATCATACTTAAGAAATTTGTTAAAATCTTGAGTAAATGAGGAAATTAAAAATGAACTGATTCTAAAAAATCTCTGGTTTGTCACTATGCAGTGACTGCTGAGTGAGCTGTGAGTAGGCGGGTAGGTCTACTTCCCAAGTATGGCCAGACTGGCAGTTTTTTTTTTTTAGTTGGTTTTGGAGGCTTCCAGTGCTTGTGCACTGCCCAGCCTGGTCTCTGTCACTCCTTTGATGAAAGACTATGCACCGTGCAAAGGGCCTCAATGGCCCATGTACCTTATATGCAGCATGCACCCAACATCCAGACAATTGAATTGGTCATGTAGCAAGGTTTTCAATATGCAAGTGATATATGCGGCATGCCTTATAATAACATGCACAGTGTGTCAAGCTTAATGCTGTAATAAAGCACCCTAACAGCATGCTAAATTGCACAAGTATGCCAAAAAATTAAACAAAACAGAACAAGAAAGAAGAAGAAGAAAAGAAAGAAAAACAAGAAAAAAAAATTTATATATATATACACATTTTTTTTAGGTTCTTTGATTTGAAGGAGAAAGCACCCCCAGTTTGGAGCTACATCAGAGAGGCAGCTCCACTTTCCAGCAAATATTGCTGCAAGCATGAAAAGATTTGGTGACGCTGTTTGCTGATGACTCCCCCACCCAGGGCTGTCTGCAGCCCCCAAGTAAGTCCCTGTGCATTCACTGCACTTCTAAATATTGCTCTTGGGCCACTGAATCTAGCACAGTGTAATATAAAGTGAGCTATGGTGTCATCTACTTGACATTCTGGACAGACCCCCGTAGCTTCCATTCCAAACCGGGCACGGTGGGCACCCACGCCTGCATGGCCCAGACAAAGGCGGGCCACCGCAGCAGCAACCTGGGTCTGCCAGTATGCACGCCAGTGGCTGTTAAAGGCCTGAGCTAGCTGCCCATATGACTCATCAAAAGAAAGTATTGAACAAGAGGACCTGTCACTGCTGTGCGCCAGGCTAGCAATCCGATCAGCCCCCTCATTTCCAAAAACTCCACTATGACCCTTCACCCAGCAGAAAGCAACCGAGTTTAGCCCCCTCTGAAGAAGAAGGGCGTGAATCCTATATACTATTGCAGCATAGGTAGGATGGCGGGTATTAAGGATCAGGTGCAGGGATGACTTAGCTCACCAATGACACTGCTGCCATACTCTAGCTTACTGCAAATAAATGCCACATAGACATTCCGCAGTAGGTGACTTGAGGCACCCCACCTCAGAGCACTCAAGGCCCGAAGGACATTCAATCTTTTCTGACAGTCTGCATGCACTGCAGAGACATGAGCCCCAAAATTCAATCTGGGGCAATCAAATATCACCTCTAACACGCTTTTATTGGGAGAAGGCAGTGGGACGACCATAGATTCAAATGACGATCTGAGGGGATATCCGGTGCCTGGAGTATGATTGGTATGAGCACTTATCAGGGATTCGGGGTTGAGGAAAAAGTGCCACTTGTTGCACCAAGCAGAAAACTGCGTTAGGTACTCTTGCATGTTTCGCTGAGCAGACAGCAGGGA